TTCCAAAGCTGCAGCAACATGTTTTGCTTTCCAATGCCTCTGATCTATAGCATGCAGGAGGCTTGCTGCAGAACACAGCTCTTTTGGGGAGGCAGTGTTTTTTCTGTGGCAGTTCAATCAGCCGCATGAAAATGTTGAGGGATAATTTGAACTGGGAGCACGTCCATTGTCATCCGGAAGAGAAACCTGGACCCAGAGTTTACCGAACTTAGCAGATGCATTGTGTTTAAACGATCTGAATACACAACTATACTAAACTGTTCCATCTGAACTCTGGCTTTATAATTACCTTTGCTGAAATACCACAATGTGGCTTTTGCAAATGCAGTTGCTTCCAAATGCCACTCTTTATCAGTCAGCCTCCTTATGTTTGATGTATTCTTCTCATGCTTTCATTGAAATGGTGTTTGATAGGCCTATTGTGAGCATGATGCATGAGAGGTTATGGAAGGACAGTGCATTGTTGCTAATAAAAAAGATGCTGACAAAAGGGATCTAGCATAGCTGCCGTCTTTAAAGGATGGTTTATTGCACCGGTGTCAAAATGGAGAAGTGAGAGAGCACTTGGAGTAACTCCTTTGTCATCTTTAAAATAGATTTCATGAGCGTGGTAGCCTTAGTAAGCATCTCCAAGGGAATTGTGGATGTGAATAACAGAAGTTCTTCAAGTGCTCTCACTTCATTTTAGTGCCTAGTTTGTTAGCGCCGTGGGTGAAGCTCCATGGCAGCTGTATGCAAAGAGGAGCCCCATTACAACTTGTCCATGCATATTGGCTTGAAAAGCAAAGTGCAGTGGAAACCTCTACATACAGGCAGAGCTGATGAAAGCTTTAGTTTCTAAAAATATAATTTTTACACATTGTAGGATTCTGACGTTGCCTACTTCTTTCTTTAATGAAGTCAAGGTTTGGGAAGATAATTAGATAGGTCTTTTTGGTATGGTTATTGTAGTGGTTGTCTACAACTCTAGACATTTGTTTTCCATTCTTGCAGTCAATCAGATGTCATAGTTATTACCTAATATGTGTAATTAGTGCTCTGTGCTAATCATAAGTTAAAATAAGGCTTAGTTTTGGAGTTTCCTGTAGGTTTATGCTCCATATTTCTCAGTAAAGCACAGAGGATTTAAGTTATGGATAGTTTTATATTAAGAAGCATTTTTCCCCCATGATTATAGTATGGCATCTTTTTTTTTTACCTCGAACTCTTGTACTATATAGCACATTTGAGACCACAACTAAAAATCTTGTGTGGTGATGGGAGAACCATACCTGTGCACAATTTCTCACTGCTGCTGTTCTTGAAATGGCCAGAGTCCACAAATGTGCTCCCTAGGTTGCCATATTTTCTAGTCAGTGCCAGCTGGGCTTCAGACGTACTTGAAAGCAGCAGGACACTTTGCATCTTGACAGTATCTCTGAAGTTGTGTGGTGGTAAAGATGAGCCTCTGTTTTCTTTGGAGCCTGGAATTTAGAGGGCGGCACTTGTCTAAATTGCAGCGCCAAAGATGAAGCAAGATTTCCTCTCCCCAAGGTGTGGGAGGAACAGATAGTAACCACAACTTTATGGTAGTTAGCACCACCACAATAAAGACATATCATTGCTTCAGGAATGATTGCAGAATCTGTGCACCTGAAGTTGATGGTTTGCGACTCCCATCAACTCCAGCCAGTATAGCCAGCTGTCAGGTGGTGAGGTGGTTGTTCACGAGTAACCAGGCAGGACTCCGACCTATCTTTAGCAGGTTTTCATTTGTGCAAACTATTTATAGTCCAGAACCAGAAAGTTCATGTCCGTCTCAGTCACTTGCAGTTTCCGGTAGTGTCACCTTCCAGTGTCCCCTTCCGGTCCCCCCCCCCCAGCATAAGAACTTAGACACCCCAAATCTCCGCCTCCCCTCCTTACGTTTCACCCCTCTGTGCAAACGGGGCAACGGAATCGGCGTGCCTGTTTCTTGGCCGGCCGGGCTAGGTAAGGCGCTTGGGCTCTCAGTAGCATCTTCGAGCCCTCCCCTTGCTCGGCTTCCCCCTCCCCCCCCTGCTCCACTGGAGGTGTGGCTTTCTCCACCTCTCGACGAGGGGCTGCACCTCAGAAGCATAGCAGGCACTCTGTATCCCCCTGCCTCCCCCCTGTTGTGATGGCAGTCCCCAGACACCAATGCTCAAGGATAATGGGAGCTGAAGTACAGCAACATCTGGAGGGTGACAGATTCTCCAATCCTTGCCATAAACATGCATCACACAAATGTACAGGTTTCCTTACACCAGCTATAGGGAATCTTCCTATCGTCTCCCTACTGTTAGCCATGCTGGTGGCCTTGATGGGAGTCAACTACATCCAGAGGACCACAGGCTCCCTATCCTGACATAACATCAGAAATGACCCTAAAAGCCCTAGGTACTTAAATATTATAGGGACGCAGGTGGCGATGTGGTCTAAACCACAGAGCCTAGAGCTTGCTGATCAGAAGGTTGGCGGTTCGAATCCCCGCGACAGGGTGAGCTCCCATTGCTCGGTCCCAGCTCCTGCCAACCTAGTAGTTCGAAAGCACGTCAAAGTGCAAGTAGATAAATAGGTACCGCTCCGGCGGGAAGGTAAACGGCATTTCTGTGCGCTGCTGTGGTTCGCCAGAAGCGGCTTAGTCATGCTGGCCACATGACCCAGAAGCTGTACGCCGACTCCTTCGGCCAGTAAAGCGAGATGAGCACCGCAACCCCAGAGTAGTCTGCGACTGGACCTAATGGTCAGAGATCCCTTTACCTTTACTTTTGCTTAAATACTGTTTTGTGAGAAATACGAACCAACTGTCAGCTTAAGCTGCTATTTTTTCTATATTTCCTGGCTATGCTATTTCCAACTCTGTAGCATAACCACAGTTGTACGCAGTATTCTACATGTAGGATGTACAGATCGGAGGTTTATTTGCTATTTTTTTTTCAGTACCTTTTCTTCAATTTACAATCATCTACTGTTCCTCTTAATTTCAAAGCCTATCCAGGAGTACATTTTTGAGCAGCACATATATATGTGTCTTCTTTCCATTCAGGGGCAATGGCTGCTATGTCAGTGTAATATGGGTTTGCTAATTAAGTTGGTCTTGAAGAACTCTGAATTGTCCAAAATCATATTAGCAAATTACCTATTTGCCTATATTCTGCTGATTGTACATTCCAGTGCTACTAGAGATGGTTTATATTGTATGTCTGCAGCATCTTAATCAGCGCTAGAAACATCTCATTGATGAAAAATCAGACGTGTCTTTATTCCAGCAATATCATTTTCCTTATTACTGCCAAAATCTCCTCCTCTTCAGGAAATCCAATTAACAAAATTATGATAAATTGGGTTGTTGCTACTCATGTCTGTGGGTTTGTTTACTGCTTTTGCACATTATGTACAATGATGGCATTGCACTGTGTGCTTGGATACTATTCATTATACACTGTCTATCTCAGTCCATTTACCCGGTCCAAAGATGCTCGCTCCTCTTTTTAAAGAACTATTTCCCAGCCTTCTCCAACCTTTCACAAGCCATGGCTGAAACAAACTAAATGGCCTCGGCCCAGTATACCTGAAGTAGTGTCTCCACCCTTATTGTTCAGCCCGGACCCTGAGGTCCAGCTCCGAGGGCCTTCTGACGGTTCCCTCACTGTGAGAAGTGAAGTTACATGGAACCAGGCAGAGGGTCTTCTCGGTAGTGGCGCCCGCCCTGTGGAATGCCCTCCCATCAGATGTCAAAGAAATAAACAACTATCTGACGTTTAGAAGACATCTGAAGGCAGCCCTGTTTAGGGAAGTTTTTAATGACTGACGTTTTAATGTATTTTCAGTCTTTTGTTGGAAGCAGCCCAGAGTGGCTGGGGAAACCCAGCCAGACGGGCGGGGTATAAATATTATTATTAGTGTTAAATTTCAATGTACTGTATCTACTAGTGGCAACTGAAGGCCAGAAGATTGTTGCCTCACTGATCGCCACAAACAAACACTGAATTCTGCTTAGCATGAGTACTGACTGTAAGCTGCCTTGGGGTGTGTGGATTTTGTTTTGAAAGACGACATGTAAATCCTTCAAGTAAAGTAAATACTTTGTATAAGTTCCTCTGTGGATTCACTAGCTTAGATCATTGCCTTCTACTGCAAATTACAGTGGTGCCTCGCAAGACGAATGCCTCGCAAGACGAAAAACGCGCAAGACGAAAGAGTTTTCTGTTTTTTGAGTCGTTCCGCAAGACGAATTTCCCTATGGGCTTGCTTCGCAAGACGAAACGTCTTGCGAGTTCTTGCGAGTTTGTTTCCTTTTTCTTAAAGCCGCTAAGCCGTTAATAGCCGCTAAGCCGCTAATAGCCGCTAAGCCGCTAAGCCGCTAATAGCCGTGCTTCGCAAGACGAAAAAACCGCAAGACGAAGAGACTCGTGGAACGGATTAATTTCGTCTTGCGAGGCACCACTGTATCAGCAAGCTTATATAGTTTTAAATTCGTATTTAATTGTGGTAGAGCCAGTAGCCTAAAAACCAAATTTTCAGCCTTGGGAATTTGTACATATGCTATTGATGCGTCAAAGTTGGATGTTTGGCGTAATTGATTTGTAGACAGTGTAGATACACTGATTAGTTATGGTTGAAAGTATTGTGCTGCTAGTTTACTAACGGTGCAATCCTGTGCAGGTTTTCTCAGACATCCTATTCAGTTGAATGGGACTTATTCCCAAGTAGGTTATTCCTAATTTCAGTAGAAATGGATATTTCTTTTCTTTTTACAGTTGCTTAGTTTTGAAGGCTGTCAGCCATTTTACTTCAATAAGTAAACTAGATTTACATTGATTAAAGTGAAATAAATATACCGTACATACTCGAGTATAAGCTGACTTTTTCAGCACATTTTTTATGCTGAAAAAGCCCCCCTCGGCTTAAACTCGAGTGAGGCGGGAGGCGGTGGCGGAGGGACGAGCAACCTGAAAGGAGCCTTTTCTTGCCGCTGGTTCCGCTGCCACCCGCCGCTCGCAAGGGCAGGCACAGGAGTCGCGGTTGGGAGAGGCGCTGCTCTGTGCTATGCCTCTCCCAACTGCGGCTCCTATGCCTGCTCTTGCGAGCGGCAGAGGTGGCGGCAGAGGGACGAGTGGCCTGAAAGGAGCCCTTTTGGGCTGCTTGTTCTTCCTCCTTTGCTGCCTGCCACCGCCAGGTTTGTGGTGTGGTGAACCGGCTTATACTCAAGTCAATGCGTTTTCCCAGTTTTTTGTGCTAAAATTAGGTGCCTCGTCTTATATTCGGGTCGGCTTATACTCGAGTATATACGGTATGTATTACAAAACCTCAGTTAAGACATTTTTGCGAGATCTTGAAAGGAAAAGAAGAAGCTGTAATGCAAAATTACTATTTTAACACTCACAGGCTGGAGAAATGACAGTCTTTGGTAGTATTTCATCACTTTTGGGATTAGGGTATATTCTGCTTTAAATGGCTTTCAACATAAGCAAGATAATTTCAGGATGACTGGGAAAGATCCAGTTTAAATGACACATCGACTTCAGCTGCAGACAATATCAATTTGCTGCCATTCTTTACATTAGAAGGAATGCTAATGGTGGAAGTTGTAATCCAAAGCAGCTAGAGGGCACCAGGTTGGGAAGGCCTGTTCTAGCCTGATATAACTTATTCTTCTCTCTAACAGCTATCTTAACTCCTCGCCCCTTTACTGGACCTCCTCTCTCTACTCTAACCCATCTCTCTCCTCTAACTCCTGTTGGAAGACAAGTTTTTATTTTCAATTCATTTTTTTTACTGAAATAATATTCATTTTTTAAAAATAAAGCATTAAAATTGGATGAAATTGTGGCTTTTTGAAACACTTTATGTTTAACTGCTGTGCATTTGAAACTAAAGAGGCCATTTGGTTGGGAGTAGTTCCCTCCAATTGGTACCACTTCATTTCACACATGCAGTAAAAATAGTAATTTTTGTGCTGTTTGACCTACTTACTTAAACAGAGCAGCTTCATGGGATATAATTATTTGAGTGAGGTTTATTCATTCTAAAAGCCATATTGACTGTGGAAGTCTCAGTGCTCTGTTGCACTCTCTAGCTGTCGTTCGATATCTTGTCAACCCCGGCAGCTTCTTCTGCATATCTGTTTATGCAACACGTCCCTTCTGCATATGATAGTTCTTGATATTTAGGTGCGTTGGAAAGTTTTTAGTGAACCTTTTGGTATAAATCTCATTTTTATTTTTATTTTTTAAATTGAGACTGATGTGATTTCCCTGTCTCATTTTCAAATAAAGTTGCTGGAGCAATGTGCCTGAAGACTTGCAATGAGAACGAGATGTTTTACACTTGCAAGATCTTGTTTACAAACCAAAAGTCTGGATAGTGACATTATTTGAAAAAGTCAGAGACCTAGTCATAAATGCTTGTTATGCATTGTATAGAGAAGAAAGCTTTAGGCTGCAAGCAGAGGAACAGAGAACCTCCCAGATCTTGATCCTTGGATTAACAGCCATAATGGTTCAAGAGAGAACTGCAGACACGCTTAGTCATATTTCGATTCCAGCTGTTCTATAAGTTGAATCTGTACTACTCAACATCTTGTTTCAGCTATTTTGTTGTGTGCATCTGCTGCAGATGAACATTAAAGGTAAAGGACCCCTGACCATTAGGTCCAGTCGTGACCGACTCTGGGGTTGCGGCGCTCATCTCGCTTTATTGGCCGAGGGAGCCGGCGTACAGCTTCCAGGTCATGTGGCCAGCATGACTAAGCCGCTTCTGGCGAACCAGAGCAGCGCACGGAAACGCCATTTACCTTCCCGCCAGAGCGGTACCTATTTATCTACTTGCACTTTAACGTGCTTTCGAACTGTTAGGTTTGCAGGAGCTGGGACCGAACAACGGGAGCTCACCCCGTTGCGGGGATTCAAATCGCCAACCTTCTGATCAGCAAACCCTAGGCTCTGTGGTTTAACCCACAGTGCCACCCGCATCCTTTTTCTCTAAACCTTTTCTCTTGGCTCAGTGGCAAAACTGAGCGGTTATCATATGCAAAATAAAGAACGGAACGATAAATTATTTTCTTTACTGAAATCTATATCTGACCTTTTTGTAAAATAAATGAGGTGGCACATATATTAAAAGTGCACCATCATTTAAAAAAGGTAGCAGCTCTGACAGATTCAAGATGTTAAGTCACAATAATTTGGCACTACAGTCCCATGCTTAACTACTCTGAAGTAAGTCCCATTGAGTTCAATTGCACCTACTCCCAGGAAAGTGTGTAGAGGATTGCAATCTAGTTCTCCCAAATCATGCTTGTAATGTTGCACGCTCCTGAGAGTAATTCTTTCTTCTCTGAGCTTGAGCGGGAAGTGTTTTTGTCATTCGGAAAGCTCTAACTCCTACATCTTCCTTACTCTGTAAATGTTTTGTGATTGGCTTCCCAAATTCCTTACCATGGTTCAAGAGTGTGCTGCCTGTTTTGTATATGCTGGTTCCATCATTAATACACCTGTCAGAATGCGCTCCTGCACATTTGTAGACGGTGTGAGGCAGAGGTCAAGCATCTATCCATGCAACTGGCTGGTTGAATTATCCCCTCATGAAAATATTTTGTACGTTTCCAGCTATTGCATATAACTGTCTCTTCCTTCATTGTGGAACATTGTATTCACATTATGTCGTGTATTGCAAAGCAGAAAGTCCAGTTCACGTCCCGTTTGCATGCAAGTAGTTAATCATGCACAAATCATTTTAGCAGATTATCTGGCAACGTTCCTAGCATCATTGACTAATAATTGTTAGCAAATAGCGAGGCAAACGTCGTAGGCCTAGCGATCTGCTCCACTTAAAGTGTACAGTTTTGATGTATCAGCATAGCAAACCATATTTGTGCAGCCATAGAACGTCCTGGTATATGTAACCATAAAATTGTAAACAGTTCTTTCATTTGAATGAAACCAGGCCATTTTGAGAAACAACAAATATGAATTAATTGCAACCATGGAAGGGTTAGCTTTGTAGTGTTTAATTGAACCCACAGTAACTTTCTGTGTTCAGTAGTAATTAGCACAGATTGATTACAAAAGTTTAATAGTTGAGGGTTGTGGCAAAATGTAATTCTTGACTGATTCCCCCCCCCCCCATTTTGTAAACATATTTATAATCCTAGTAACAGTATTAACAGTGACTTGTGGAATAATGAGTTGCTCTGTAATTAGGTTATGCTAATGAAACAGTCTGTTGCATGCTGTGTATTTCCTTATGAAAAATTAAAATACAAATTATGAGTCTTTGATTCATTGTTCATACTAAAGGAGCTTTCTGAATTCACTTTCACTTATCCAAAGGTGCTTTTAATTAGCTAAGTATTGGCAATTTAATATATCTGAATATATCAAGGCAGAGCAGTGGTCAAGGGCATTTAGTAAATGGCATCTAAAAATAAAATTCCTTTCCTAGTCCATTGTTTACTTGCTCTTCCACATCTTGAAACCTTTTTTGTGATTTAGTATCACTGAAACAGAAGTGGCATTTTATTCAGTATTCGTTGTGAATCCGAAAATGTTTTATAGCTTGTTTATAACATGAGTTGGTGAACTGATTCAAAGCAGCACATAAATCAGATGTTCTTACTGTGAGTCATGACACTAGTGGGCCCCACTAGTGGGTCTTTCCTTATTTCCAGGGTTCCACCCCGAGACAGCAACATGCCATTACTGCTCTGTAGCCGTTTTAAGAGAGCAGCTCCCCCTCCCTCTAAATATGTCATGCTTGAATTCTATGTACACATCTATTAACATTAAGAAAGAAAGAAAAATAAGATACATATTCTTGCATTTTTATTTATTTTTGCTTTAAAGGGGGGTAAAGTAAAGGGACCCCTGACCATTAGGTCCAGTCGTGGCCAACTCCGGGGTTGCGGCGCTCATCTCGCTTTATTGGCCGAGGGAGCCGGCGTACAGCTTCCGGGTCATGTGGCCAGCATGACTAAGCCGCTTCTGGCGAACCAGAGCAGCGCACGGAAACACCGTTTACCTTCCTGCCATAACGGTACCTATTTATCTACTTGCACTTTGACGTGCTTTCGAACTGCTAGGTTGGCAGGAGCAGGGAATGAGCAACGGGAGCTCACCCTGTCGCAGGGATTCGAACCGCTGACCTTCTGATTGGCAAGTCCTAGGCTCTGTGGTTTAATCCACAGCGCCACCCGCGTCCCATTTAAAGGGGGGAGTAGAGCTCAAAAGCTACAAAGTTTCGTTTAGAAGTGGGTCCTACTTCAAAACCTTTGAGAAGTGCAGATATAAATTATTTTTGAAATGTCATTCCTTTTCAGGCTCAAAATAGTCATTAATGGAGAACATGCAGCTACTATGGGAAAAGTCGACATGGTGTTGTGTTGTAAGCAGCTCAGTCTTAACTGGGGGTTGTGTGTAGGATCAGAGAAACTCAAAACAATGTTGCATCGTGCATTGTGAGGTAGCAGTATGCAGTTCTCCTTGAAGGAAGTGCTTATTTAATGGCATCAATAAACTAGTGCGGCCCAGCCACCAGAATAGCATGTCTCTCTCTCAGATTTGAAGCTTGCTATGAAAGCAGTGGGAGATTTTACTGTCTTGGGTTCCATGAGCACTGCAGATGGTAACAGCAGTCATGACATGAAAAGACGCCTGCTTCTTGGGAGAAAAGCAATGACAAACCTAGACAGCATCTTAAAAAGCAGAGACATCACCTTGCCAACAAAGGTCCGTATAGTTAAAGCTATGGTTTTCCCAGTAGTGATGTATGGAAGTGAGAGCTAGACCATAAAGAAGGCTGATCGCCGAAGAATTGATGCTTTTGAATTATGGTGCTGGAGGAGACTCTTGAGAGACCCATGGACTGCAAGAAGATCAGATCTATCCATTCTTGAGGAAATCAGCCCTGAGTGCTCACTGGAAGGACAAAAAAGCTGAGGCTCCAATACTTTGGCCACCTCATGAGAAGAGAAGACTCCCTGGAAAAGACCCTGATGTTGGGAAAGAGGGCACAAGGAAAAGGGGATGACAGAGGATGAGATGGCTGGACAGTGTTCTCAAAGCTACCAACATGAGTTTGACCAAAC